TTCTCTCTCCCAGGTCCTGGATCCAGCTCTGTCGTTGTCCCCCATCCAGACATTGTCAGTTGACCATATTCTACTCTCAGCCTTTAAGGCTAGTCTTTGCTCTACCTCTCCTGGCTGATCTGAGCTGTGTGCCTTGTTTTCTTCCTTCTCTTTGAGGAGGACTTTTTTCTTGTAGTTAGGCCCCATCCTGCAGGAGCAGGTCACGTAGGGTGCAGAGCGCCCCAGCCGGAGAAATCAGTCTTTTGGTTTTAAAAGACATTTTGAATGAAGTATCTATGACTGGAATTAGACTTTGCAACATTTTATTGGAAACAACTTTCAAAAATACCCTCTTCCCGCCCAACCTCCCCCTCAAACCTATATCCCTATATGGCATAACATTTTATAAACTGAAATCAAATAGTGCCAAGAAAACATGGAGAGACAGCTGCAAGTTAGTATAGGAAATCTTGCTGATTTTAAAGCATGCCCAATACAAAGTAGAAATTGAAATCTTAGGAATTAATTTGAAAGAGTTTACAAGTAAGTATAGTAAGGGTGTTTAAAAAGTGTATCCAAAGATATCAGCGAGAATCAATGGACTCAATAATGACAATAAAAAGGGTGTAATCCTAGAAGAAAAAGAGCTTTTGAATGAATTTTGATTCACTGTTTACTGACAAAGGTATTATACAGGTTTGTACAGGTGGGAGGTAGCTGGGAACACAGGCATGAGAGTGTTTGGGCTCTCCATAGTAAAATCAGCTGACATTTCAGAGTTAATATATCATCTGTATCTTGCAGACTCTTGAATAACCAGCCACATTTTAAAATCCATCTTCAGACACTAACTGTAGTACCTTTTGGCTTGGCAGGGTAGGATCCAAAATGCTGTTATTAGTAAATTAGTTCAATTCACCTTTTAGGCAGGGCTTAGAGTCAAATCCAGGCTTTCCATGTGGCCTTAGCCCTCTGAGTAGAAGCATCCATAGGCACTTGGTGCTGCGACTGAGCCTGTTCACTCAATTTTGGTGTAGCTGCACTAGTGGAGTTTAGGTTCTGTTTTTGTTTGTCCACCTGATGATGGTAAAGGGATTCGGACAAACAGTAATTAATGTAGAAGCCATTGGCTAAGTGTGAAGTATTCATAATATGGAAACCAAGATTATAGTCATTTTTTTCTTCCTAATGCCAAATAGAGTTGAAATGTTAGAGTTGGTTGAAAGTTAATGTTTTGCTTAATAGTATTTATTTAGTTCTTAGCCTGATGATTTGGGGGCCATTTTTTCTCGTTCCAGGTTTTTAGCGGAATACCACGATGACTTCTTCCCAGAGTCAGCTTACGTCGCTGCCTGTGAGGCACACTACAGCACTAAGAACCCCCGGGCTATTTATTAAAGTTGTGTGGGTCTGTACAAGCAGTTGTTTTCTCTAGATTTGTGCTCTGGGTTTCAGGTGGAGAACTAGTGAAGCAGTGGGCCTTCTTTAAAGAGAGTGCAAACATGGCAGAGTTAGTCCCAGTCCCTGTGATTTGAGTTGCCCACCTATTGTAGTTATTTCTGTTAAGAATTACTGCTGGGGTGCCCGCCTGTGCCTTGACATGACACTTGCCACCACACAGGCTGCCTGTGATTGCAGGAAAAGAGCAGCTGTGTTCACAATGAAACATTTGTGAATGTACACATAGGCTAGGCTGCTTTGGTAGGCATTCCAGTTAGTTGTCAGCGAGAACCACATTGTTTAGTTATTTGTTAGCATTTAACACGGTGTTTTTACACACTGTTTTCATTCTTGTGATGAGGCTAAGCAACTCTGTTTAACAAATTCTGATCTGTATTTGGAAACTGCAAAGTAGTCTCAGTATTTTAGAGAGAATTGATATCGATGGGGGGGAAAAAAAGAAAAATACAGCTATACATTTACTGGTAATGGTTCCCTCTCTATAAAACATCAGTTTTGGTGATCTAAAATTAGCATAGCCTGTCTTGTTTTGAATTTTACAGCTATACTTTGTTGTGTAATGTTATGGTTCTCTTTCTGTAAAATGTTATTTTTGGTGATCTAAATAAAGTATTGCCTGTTTCATTTGAAAGAACTAGGAGAGTTTTTTCTCTGGCCTTATCCTCTCCTCTTTACTATGGGGCAGCAGTGGGGCAACCTCTTGACTTAAAACATTGTTTTGTTTTGCTTTCCCTCTTTGCCTTTTTAGTTAAGGCCCTTTGTTTTCCTTCCTTCCTTCCTTTAGTTTTGCCTCACTTGGTGGCATGATTAGACTGTGGTCACTAGAAGTTACTGCAGTTCTGTACTGTCTTGCTGCTATATTGTGGGCTTGTCTGGGCTTGTCTGGGGTCACACATCCTCCTCCATCATTATTAGCTGATGGTCCCTGCAGTCACCCCACTAATCTTCATTTAAGTTTCTCACCTGCATCCCTCACCTCTAGTGCTTTAAAGTTCCAAATTGGTAGAATGGATACCTGAGCCATTGAATTGAATATAGCAACTATCCTTTTTTTTGTAGCTCAGCTCAGATGACCTAGACATGGAAAGACCACTGGTCACAAACAAGGGCCACTGATTTTATTAAAAAGATCTATAAATGGTTCTATCAAAGTGACTTGTGCAGACTGGTGAGAATCAGTGACTAAATCTCCTAAGGAGCTGTCCTATGAGGTACACTTAGTTGCTGAGTAAGACTCAGGGTTTTGCAGCTACTCTAGAGTAGGTTTCATGGTAGGTTTCATCTCCATTCAGTTTATGCAATGCCTGTTTAAATCTGGTGCACTGCAGTGTGCTCTGAATTGTTGAAAACATTTCATTGGTAATTACTCATGGTCTGGAAAAGAAAAAAGAGAAAAGAATTTTCTCTATGAGAATCTATTTGTTTAAATGTCCCCAATGAAATAAGCACAGATTGTTTCTTAAAACATTTATATAGTTGGGGCCAGCAGGTGGCATGGTGGTTAAGGGTGCTGGAACTGGTGGCTTGCTTTCTCTTGCTTTCTTTCTCTCTTACTCTATCCCTCTCTGATCAAATTAAAATAAATAAAGCTAAATAAAATAATTCTTTAAAAAACACATTTATATAGTTATATACCCCAAGTTTATATTCAATTCATTTTCTAATAATGAAAAATTATTTTCTTCTCCCAAAGGCATTTCTTAATTACAACTTTCCTTAAAAAATGATTATATATAAATAAGGTTTATTTAAATAAATTCTTCAGAATACTCATCATCCCTTTTGTATATTACTAATAATTAAAATAATTTCTAAGATAGAAATATTTAAAATAAATAACTTTCATAAAAATAAATGTTCTACTTTTTGTTGATTTTTAAATTGCTACTTTCCTAAACTGCCAAAACTTGCAGTTTTTAAGTATTGGGTTGTTGGAAAAGTCATAACACATTTTTGCATAGAAAAACAAAAATATGTCATGACATTCCCAATGACCTAATATATTCATTGTGTCAATGTTCCCCTTTTCAAAAGTAGTCATTTAAGGTTATGTTAAGGGGCCTGCAGGTGGCGTGGTGGTTAAAGTGCTAGATTCCCACGTGGCCTACCTCAGTTCGAGTCCCAGACCTGGCAGCTTGAAAATAATGCTGGAGATGTATATGTATTCCCAAAATCCAGAGAGGAAAATGGAGGAAAAGGGAATGCACTGTGGCCACCCCCTCCCCGGGGAGTGGGTGGTGGTGTGTGTGATTTATCATTTTCCACTTTCTCTCTGTCTGTCTCTCTGGTAAGCATGCGTATCCTATGGCAAAAACTTTAAAAAAATAAAAAAGTTACGTTGAACATAGTATCTTAATAACTTCTGTATTTAACCCTTATACTGGATCTTTGACAAAAACATGAGAACAAAAAAACACCTCTAAACAGAAATAGGTTATGTAAATGATTCTAGGATATAATATATACAAAAAAGCCAAAATATTTTATCAAGTTAGAAAAGTTGAACTCTGTCATTACATTTTATTACCAACTCTCAACATTTTTGAGTAAGTGTAATTACCCTGTTTTGCCTTTATATTCTTTTGAAATAACCAGTAACTTTTGTCCTTTAAGGTTTAGTTTATCAAAATTCATCTGAATTTCTTTTAATGAGAAAAGCACAGAAGAGTGAGAGAGATGGATATTTTCTATAGGGTCTCACCTGTGTCACCATCTTCCTGCCCCATCCTCTCAGTTTTCTAGGACTACAGGTGTGCATCACTCTGCCCACCCTGTGTAGGTGGGCCAGGAGCAGAACCTGGATCTTTCATGCAGCCTCACCTCCACGCAGTGGTATCTTCCTGCTTATACCACTCCACCTGGGCCTGTCTGAACATTTATTGACAACTATATCCTGGTGCCCCAAACTACTGTTAGGTATTGGAAATAATGAGGAAAAATAAGCCATGGTTATTGGGGAAATAACAGTTAAGAAAATTTCTTTTTTTTTTTTCAGATATTTATTATTGGGAGTTGTAGATTTGCCAGAGAGATAGAAAGCAAGAAATCACCCCCTGGGGGGATGGCCGCACCACAATCCTGTCTCTTCCATTCTCCTCTTGGGATTTTGGGCATGCATACACACATGCCTGGTGTGCGTTTCAAGCCTCCAGGTCCGGGACTCGAACCGTCGTTGGCCATGTAGGAGTCCAGCAACATAACCGTTATGCCTTGTGCTGGCCCCAAGAGTTTGTTTTATAAAATAAGTTTTTATTATTGCAAGAGAGTGAATACATGAGAGAAAGGGAGAATCTAACTCTCAGTGGTGCATGGTCGTGTGGTGCATGGTCGTGTGGTGCATGGTCGTGCCTTAATCTGTTCTCTATTTTTCCTTCCCATCAGAATCTTGGGCACATGTGTACATACATGTACCCAGGATGTTTTCCCAGCTTCTGAAGCCTGGCTACAAAACATTATTGGCCATGTGAGATCTGGTTCACAAACCCCAGCACTTAACGACTGTATTATGAGGCCAGCATAGTTTAGAGAATTTCTGCCAGCATAGACCATCACTTGTACTAAATCAGATTCTATATTAAAGAAGGGTGCTATTTTAACTAGTTCTTACTATACAAATGTATAACATAACCACACATGGTGATATTTTCTAAAATTAAACTTCCCATGGTCCAAGAAAGAATAGTTGTCAGTTTAGGCAAGTTTCCTGGTAGAGCACTTTTTTTTTTTTTTTTTGTTTTAGGCAAGTTTTGTGGTAGAGCCCTTTTTTTTTTTTTTTTTGAGTTTTTTGCTATAGGGCGCTGTGCTTGCCAGACACAGAGAGAGAAAGCGAGAAATTACCCCCCAGGGGAGATGGCCACACTGCAATCCCTTCTCCTCCATTCTCTCGAGATCATGGGCATGCATGCACACGCACCCGGCGTGAGTTTAAACTGCCGGGTGCAGGACTTGAACCACAGTCGACTACATGGGAGTCCAGGGACATAGCCATTATGCTAACTGCTGGTCCTGATGGTAGAGCATTTTCATCAGCTGTGGAATCTGGCCAATGTGGTGTCAAGGGGCTTGTTTTTCATTGGGAAATGCGGTTTTAGTAGACAGTGGTAAAAGCAATAACTTGGGAGATGATGCTTACAACCCAAAGAGAGATGACACCCCTTAATAAAGTAATAAATTACCAGTTTATTTTTTTAAGAGAGCTTTATTTTCGAGGAGAGCAGCTATAGGGCACATGTACTTGCCAGAGAGACAGAAACTGAGAAATCACCCTGTGGGGGGATGGCCATGCCGCAGTCCCTTCTTCATTCTCCTCTCAGGATTTTGGACATACATGCATGCACATGCACCTGGCATGAATTTTAAGCTGCTGGGTCTGGGACTTGAACTGCAGTCAACTATGTGGGAGTCCAGCCATGTAACTATTATACCATCTGCTGGTCCCCAGTTAATTTTTTTTTTTAAGCAATGCAATTGGAGAGATACATTTTTATTTTGACTGTTGCTCTTCTTACTCTTGAGCCAAATTCTTCCAGATGTTCATCTGGGAAAAGTCTTTAAGGCATATTTAAACTAATTGAATTACATTGTTTTTACCTAGTTCCAGTAAAAAGATAGTGCTATTCTCTGCCTCCCTCTTCCCTTAAATCCATCTTTCTTTTCTTTTCTTTTTTTTTTTTTTTCATTTTCATAGGGTGCATGTGCTCACAGAGGGGGAGAGGGATTTTCAAGCTGCCAGGTCCAGGACTTGCACCTTGGTCAGCAATGCGGGATCTAGCCACCTTAACCACCATACCACTAGTTGGCCTGGAATTAATCATTTAAACTCAATAGGGATTTAGAAATGGCCATTTCTTGACTCGAGCTTTCCCTGTGCTCTAAATAGTGGCACATCTGACCAATAAGCAGAATATAAGTCCCCAGTAGATTGTCTGCAAGGTTTATGTTCTAGTTTAGTTTTTTTCTGTGGCTAAAAACAGGGATCCCTGAGCCTGGGTAATTTAAGAGAATAGGTATTTATTATCTCACTGTTTTGGAAGCTGGAAAGTCCAAGAGCCTGATGTTGGTCTCTGGTGAGAATTTGCATATCAACACGGCAGAGGGCAGGTGTACATACAGAGTGGAGCATAGCATGACTGGTTTCCTTAACAACCCATTGGGCTCAATCATGGGGACCCACTCTGATGCCTAGTCATTTCCCACAGGCCTGCCTTTCAACATTAAATATTGGGTCATCAGAAAAGTTAGGACATTTTTTCATGTTTTTCTATGCAAAAATGCATCATGACTTTTCCAACAACCCAATTGATTAAGTTTGCATCATTTCAAAACTGTTAGAGTAGCTTACCAAATTTTAACACATGATTTTGGGGTCGTCACATCCAAACCATGCCGGGGATGTTGCCAGCTCAGTGTAATCAGCTATTCCCTCTGCCCAG